TCTTATTTTATTCCCTTGTGGTCTGAGAGAATGCAAGGTGTAACTTCAATGTTTCTGAATTTGGACAAGTTTGCTTTGTGACCTAAAATGTGGTCTATTTTGGGAAATGTTCTGTGTGCTTCTGAGAAAAATGTGTATTCTGAGGCTGCTGGGTGAAATATTCTGTAGATGTCTGTTAAATCTAGTTAATCTATGCAGTTGTTTAGATCTGTGGTTTCTCTGTTGAGATTTTGCAGAATTGATCTTTCTAGTGGGGATAGTGGTATGTTAAAGTCCCCAACAATTAAGTCTTTGGATCTATGTGACATTTGAGGGAAAGTAGTGTTTCTTGGATAAATTTGGAGGCTCTCTGTTGTTTGGTGAATAGATATTTGGAATTGTAATATCCTCCTGAAAGAGAGATCCCTTAATTAATATGTAGCGACCTTCTTTATCTCTTCTCACTAATTTTAATTTGAAGTCCATCTGATATTAGGATTGCAACTCCTGCCTGCTTATGGGGGCCATTTGCTTGGTAGATTTAGTTCCAGCCTTTCACCTTTAAAATGTGTCTGTTTTTATGGGCAAGGTTTGACTCCTGAAGGCAGCAGATAGAAGGATCTTGCTTTTTAATCCAGCTAGACAGTCTATGTCTATGAATTGGAGACTTAAGTCCATTATTGTTGAGAGATATAGCTGAGAGGTGTTTGGGGGTTCCTGCCATGTTATCCATCTTCTTGGGTGCTGCGGCAACTGGGTTCTTCCTGTGGTTCTTGGGTTCTCCATTTGGGTGCAGTTTCTTGGTCTTTATTGTGGTCTTGTTAGTTTTCTATATGTAGGACATCTTTAAGTATCTTTTGTAGAGCAGGTTTGGTGGAGATATATTGTTTCAGTTTTTCTTTGCTATGGAAGGTTTTTATTTGATCTTTGGTTATGAAGCAGAGCTTAGCTGGGTACAGTATTCTTGCTTGATAGTTGTCTGTATTTAGGGAGTAGTATACGACATTCTAGGCTCTTCTTGCTTTAATTATCTCTGCTGAGAAATCGGAGGTGATTCTAATTGTTTTCCCTTTATATGTGATTGTTCTATTCTCCTTGACTGCTTTAAGGACCTTTTCCTTGGTCTCAATAGATCCTGTTCAGATTATAATGTGACAGTGGGATGTCCTGTTCTGGTGTGATATATTTGGGGTTCTAAAAGCTTCTTGTATCTGAATAGGCCTATCTTTTTGCATGTTGGGGAAATTTTCTACTAGTATCCTGTTAACCAAATTTCCTAGACTAGGTGTCTCTAGGTGCTCCTCTACAACCATTATGCTTAGATTAGGCCTTCTGATGGTGTCTTCCAAATGTTGAATAGATCTGTAATATTTCTTGGATTTGTCTTGGATAGGTGTATGTTCTTTCTTTATGATATGTAGGCTGTCTTCAATCCCTGAGATTCAATCTTCTGCATGGTCTTACCAACTGTCATGGCTTCCTACTTTGTTTTTTTTTCCTTGTAATTGATTGGCTTTGATGGCTTCAAATTCTTAGTTGGAGCTTTGTTTTAGATCTTGTATGAACTTCTTTACTTCCTTATTTTGGTGTTCAGTGTTTATTCTCAAATCATTAGTTGAATGGTTATGGTTTGCTTGGACTCCCATTCCTTCTGTTGGGCTCCATTCAGCATTCCCTTTGTGGTCTCCCTGACTTCTTTCAACTGTCTGTTTATGGATTCCATGAATGTCTCTATTGATCTTTGTCTATTCTCATCCCACTCTTGCAATTCCTGTATTACTCCTTGATTAGTTTCCTCGTGTTCACCCAATTCCAGTAGTTTTCTTTGCTCTCAGCCTGATCACACAATTCCTTTATTTCTCTTTGAGTGTTCTCAACCTGCTCCCACAATTCCTGTATTAATCTTTGAGTAGTTTGTTCACGCTCATAAGATTCCTCTATTGATCTTTGGTTTGTCTCCTCTTGCTCCCTATCATGCTCACACTGAGCCCTTTGCAGGTTTTCAAACTTTTCATTCATCGTGTTACCACTAGTGTTTGTGGAGCTTTTTGGGAACTCTACTCCTGATTATTCATTATCTGTTCTGTCACTTAATTATCATGAGTGGGATTTGAGGTACCCAGACTTCCCATTTTCCTTGTGTTTGTCTGGCTTGTTCTGCCCATTTGGTATGAAAGTAACACCAATTTTGTGCTAGAACACTATTTTACGTCAAGCACCAACAAAGTCCTGTACTTACACAGTCAAAAGTTTGCAGATACAATGTATTTGAACAGATACAATCTATTCATCTTCAAACAACTATGGATAAATGGGCTAAGAATAGCAAAGAAGAATTTGGCTAACCAGAAATTATTACTTTTAGGGAGAAATGTGGGGAAAAATACGATTAGAGGGATGTGGAGAGGTAAAGGGAGAGTGAAATTAACCAAGTCTTACTCTCAAAGAGGGAAATGGGTTGGACAGAGTAATAGAAGAGAGAGAGAGGAAAAAGAGAGACAAGAAAAACTGGAAAAACAAAAATGTAAATTTAAAAAGTGAAACTTAAAAATTATCTAAGTGAATTTGTGAGAAGAAAGGTATAGAATTAGAGGAGTGGAGGGATAGAAAGGAGAAATGAAAAATTAAACAATAATAATTCTTATAAAATTGTATAGGTTTAAAGAGATAATACTGCTATTAAAAATTTAAGGCTAAGAAGTATTGAAGTGAGTAATACATTTCTGGATTAAATATGTACACAATGGTGGATAAGGTCTAATAATCGATGATGGGTATATATCTGAGGATTACCAGAACAGCAATTAAGTCACATAAAAAAGAAAGAGAAAAAAAAGAAAATATGAACAAAAAAAAGGATCAAAATGTCAAAAGAGATTAAAAAAACACACACACACATATATACCTAAAATAAAAAATTATAAGAGGGGAAAAACGATATTAAAGATATTGTTTATTTTTAAAAAATTAATAAATTAATAAAAGGTCCAAGAAAGAGTTCCTGTTTTTTTGCGGGGGGGAGGGGGGGAGAAGATCCTATATCTCCCTAGTGTCTGTAACCAGTCTCTTGGTGGAATCTCTGGTCTGCTTGTGGTGTTTGTTTTTCCTGTGCCTTGATATGTTTCTTAAGTCAGTCTGTTTGAGCAGACAGAAAAAATGCTCTGCTTTATCCTGGATTGTGTGATCCCCCTCTCAGTCTAGTTCACTGGGAGAGAGATCTGCCTTGAGTATCACAAAAGAGGGAGATGGCTGTTTCCTCTAGTTTTGAGATGCTGTGTTGAGCCTAGGTTCTGGGTAGGGTTGAAGCCTTTGAGCAAACAGTTGCTTTTCCCTGAGGGGAAAACTCACAGAGAAATTCATTGAGCCCAGCCTGGAGCCATTCTCATGGTTTATATTTACTGAGTTTCAATTGCTTGTCTAGGCTGCTGTAGGGAGGCACATCCCCTGGCTCTGTATACTCAGTGAAGAAAGTCACTCCTCCAGGGGTGGAGCGACTTCTGCCTGATCTGGGTGACTTTCACCTGGGTGGAGCTGAGCCTGGCAGGTCAGGTCAGTGTTCTGGGACCTGGTAATGGTTCCAATTGTTTCCTTCCAAGGCCTGTGTTGAAGCTAGCTGCTCAGCCAGGCCTTTGTCAGTATCAAAGATGGAGAACTCCGGTGGTGTGGGGGAGCGGTGGCCTTCCCTCCTCTGTTCCCTGAGAAATGAGCAACAATAATAAAAAATGAATTAAGCAATAGCTTGGAGCCAGTGGTTCAAACTGATAATCCTAGCTACTCAGGAGGTGGAAATATGAGGATGGTTCAAAGCCCGCTTGTGCAAAAAATTCGGTGAGACTCTTATCTCCAATAAACCACTCAGAAAAACTGGGAATGATGCTGTGGCTCAAAAGGTAAAGTGCCTGCCTTGAGCTGAAGAACAGAGGGACAGAGCCTAGGCTCAGATTTTAAGCACTGTGACCAAAAAAAAAAAAAAAAGAATTGAATAACATAAATTAGGTTTTACATTGAAGTAAATATCTAACCAAAGCCAGGAAAACTTAAATTAGGTGCTATTTTTTTCTTTGTCCTTTAAAGGAAATCACAATGGGAAAAATATGTATGCAAATTAAATTGCACATTATGCACATTATCTATCTGAAAGATGTCTATAAGAAAATAGAAAATCTGAACACACACTCCACGATTGTTTTATCAAAGAAATCCTGTGGAAAAAAAAAAGAAGGCAAATATATGTTTGGATGGGTTATTATTGCCAAGAAGTTGCAAAATAGGAGAAGAAAAATAAGAAAATTGTAAAACACAACCAATATTCTTACCATTGTATGCTTTCACAGCCAGTTAGAGAATTTCTACCTCTTATCCCTTTGGCTGGTGGAAGCTACCAGTGCATTGCCAAGAGACTTCCGGATCGCAGTATCCCAGTCATGAGCCATTCACACCTGTTAGAGCAAGAGTATGGCTTCTGCCTCTGGGAGCTTCCTGATCCATCCCTACCATGCCAACCAATCTAGGGCACGAGCCTCACCACATGTATCAAGCGGTCCCCAGACATAACAAGCAGCGTGTCTGATCTGCCCAGCTCCTGTGCATAGTTTGGCGCCTCTGGGGGAAGATGGAGCTCAAGGTCCTGCTCTAGAAGGGGAAGGATACTCTCAGCAAGCCTTGGGGCATGGGGCAGTGAGCATCATAGGAAGGAGACCTGGGCCTTGAGCATGAGGGACTGCATGTGGTTCTGGAATACCGCAGGGCCTTGCCCGTGTCTGGGCGCAGATTCAGCAACAACAACACGGGGCAGATCCTGAGCAGCAGGCCCGGGGGGCAAGGGTGGGATCCATAGTCTATTGCTGCTATTCTGGCCCCTCTCTGGGTTGAGGTGTCTCACCTGCCACGCGTGGGCTTCTCTTTTCTTTTCTTCTGCTCTCAGAGTTTGGGATGATTTTCATTAAATGATTGTGTGGCTTTAATATATTGGCTATTCTGTCTGTCTGTCTGTCTGTCTGTCTATCTTCACCCTTTTTTTTCTCCGTGTTTCTGCTGAGCCTTTGCCATCATCGGCACTGCTCACTTTGGCATCCACAGATCCTCCTGAGAAATGACACCAATTGCTTTTTCTTAATTTAAATACAGGATTGAGGTTTATTGGAGTTTGGTGGCAAAAGTAAAGGGAATTAAATATGAATATATGTTTTCAGTATGAGAAACGTCTGTGTGTGTGTGAATGTATGTGTGTGTGTGTGTATGTGTGTATCAGCCCTGGAAGTCAGGGCCCCAAGCTCCCTCTCTTGGCTTTGTAATACACATGTGGCATTTTAGCATTTGACAAATACCTCCTGTCCTATATTTTTACTTGTAAGTTAGAGATGAAGTCTCATAGACGTTTCTGTCCAGGCTAATTTTGAACTGTAATCCTCAGATCCAAGCCTTTTAAGAGAGCCACTGGTGTCTGGCTCAAAAAAAATTACGTGTCTAATATAGAAATTCAAAATGAATTTAATAATAGATTTCCACAAGAATGTGAAAATATAATACACATTACCTAAGGTTTTAGTCCATATTTTAAGAGTAACACTTTTTCATTTTTGAGATTATGTAATTACATAAATTTCACACTATTGTGGCATAGTGATATTCAGTTAAAGTCACTAACACATTTTAACCTTCACAATGCATCTTGTCATTGTCTTGATCTACAAAGCTGATGAACTCTACAGACTTTAACAATAAAACTGTTTCTTCCAAATTGGGTGATATGTTCATTTCTTTCCTTTCGCTCACTATCAGCTGTTTCCTCTTCCTCTCTCATTCCCTCCCTCCAATCATCACTGTTGAGTTGCTTAGTTCACTTTCATCAATGACCAGTGCCACTGATGGGCCCTCTGCTGTATTTTTTTCACCCATTTTCCTCCACTTCTTTGCCCTCCTCCTGGCTTCCCTCAGATGTGCATGCCTATGCAGCATATATGGTGTCAAGGGCATAGAGTGATTTAGAATTTATATGAAAAGTAAGAAGAGGTCCTTTATTTCTTGGGTCTTGTTTACTTTGTCATATCTCAATGTAAAACACGTTTATGACATGTAATTTAGTCCAATCAAATGGATATTGAACATCACTGGATCTTAAAAAAAATAAGCAGAAAATGAAGCAATGGAAGAAAGGACACACTATCTTTTGCCAGCTAGCTAGCAAGATCTCCAAAAATAGACTGTGGCTATTCGTCTCTTTTCTCTTCTTCCATTTCTGTTTGGAAGTCCTTAGTGATTTGGTCCACTAAGATACACAAGTTGGCTAATTGTGAGCTCTAGAGATTGATTTTCCTAAGGTCAATGATGAGTCCATTCTTTCCCACCTTCAGTTGAGGCTGGCACTAGCCCACTCCTTGTCTGTCAGTCCTGAGGATGGAAGCTGAGCTTTCCCTATGCACCAGGCTTGAAGAGATCCTTGGTTCTTTACCCCTTGGTTGTGTCTAAAGACAGAAGCATCTCTACCCAGTAAGCACTGATGTATTAGATACATGAAGAGTCTTGGAAATACTACCTCTTACTCAAAAATATCAACATAATGGTTTTGGGTAGCAAGGTGGTAGGACAGCCCAGTAAAAATTAATTCACCACTTGTGTGAATGCTTCAGTTCCTTATGTTTTATACGTTCTTATAGTTGTGTTTTGTTACCAGAATGGGTAATCAAAATTTTTTTTTCTTTCTACCTATACAGTACTGGCTCTGATCCTGTTAAGGTCTTCCCCAAACTACAATGCCTGTATTATTCTAAACTCATTCTGAGTACTGTGGAGGGACTATCACAATCATATTGAAGGTCTGGGCCTCAGTTATCAAAACAGCATCAATGGCAGGGTGCTGGAGCCTCATGCCTGTGATCCTAGCTACTCAGGATGCTGAGATCTGAGGATTTCAGTTCAAAGCCATCCCAGGCAGGGAATTCCATGAAACTCTTTTCTCCAATGGACCACTGAAAACCAGAAGTGGCAATCATTTATTGAGCACCTATACTGAACAGTGAGCACTCTCTTCTTTGAGTCATTGTAATTAGGATAATCTGTTTGGTTTCCAGACATTTCTGTGCAGATGCTTTTCTGTTTTCCATCCATGGCCCAGCAGAATTAGAGACAGCACTATGTGTATCTCTGTCATGCATGTGTCGGTGATGTCACTCTACTGAGTCACAGATATAGCATTGAATAATATCAAGATCTCTGGACTCAAAGACATGTGCGTGTTTGTCCTTTGGACACTTCCTGGCTGTAAAATGTGGTGGCGGCCTGACAATATTCCTACCTCAAGCCCCTCAACACTTTGATTTCTTAGGGACACTTCTGAATCATTCTTGTTCTCATAGTATTGTAAAGATCATTGAGAGTTTTGAAGTCTGAGCCTATCTGATGTTTTTGTCCTCTCTTGGGGAGCCTTTTCTCTTCTTATAAATGATTCTATTTCTCCATCCATTAATATTGAGGATTCTTAGGGACTGGATGACAAGGCTCTGCTTGGCCAATTGTGTACTCTGTATTTTTGGATTTCAATAAGAAATAATGACCAATAAGCAATCTATTGCTGTAGCTGCTCATTTGGACAACTGTGGTTATTTTGGTGCACTTGCATTTCTTCCCTAAAAAATACATTCGTAGATTCCTGTTCCAAAATGCAACAGATTAACATCGTGTTCTAAAACTCTAAAAGAAAGAAGAGAGAGAATGAGAGATTTTCCAGTAAAATACACCCAGTAATATAGCAAAATAGAAAATATGTGAACAGAAATATTCAGCTAGGTCAGAGAATGGACTTGAGTTACCATAATGAAAGTATGGAAATGTTCAACAACGTAACTTCCTATACTAGTAGCTTAGCAATATAGTGATATTGAAGCAGTGATATAGGATAGGTAGGAAGAATAATTGAGACAGGAAAGAGAAAGGAAAAAGCACAGTAGATAATGTACTCATTAGGAAGTATGATAGCATAAAGGACAGATTACAATGGAGAAATCATAAAATATCCGTTAGAATGCAAATTTAGGAGGTCATGTTGGGAATGTGCTATGTCTCTAACATAACCAGAGAAATGAATAAGAGTAACTTGTTTGTTCAAAGAAGTCCTCACGTTAAACTAAGATGTGATACAGATTGCTCTCAGAGCCTCTAAAAATTCTAGGCAACATCTATGTTTATCTTAATGTTTGTTTCTTCCAGAACCTGATCTCTCCCTGAACCTGGAGAAAGAATTTCTCTCAGCCCTTATCAGGATGATGTAGCACTTGGGGGCAAAGATGCAGCCTAGGAGACCTGCACTGGAGGCCAAAATGGAGAAGACCTCCACGGCCACCATGGCCTTCCCCTTGGTGCTGTGGTAGACAGGCAGGAAGGTGAGCTACACACTGCAGAACACCAGCATGTTGAAGGTCAGGAATTGGCCTCATTGAAGGTGTCAGGCAGATTTCTGGCCAGAAAAGCCACAATGAAGCTGGCCAGGGCCAGAGAGCCAAGGCATCCCAGGACACAGTAGAAGACAGTGACAGAGCCCATGTTGCACAGGACGATGATGTAGCCATGTTCAGATTGTGCATCTTTGTCCACAAAGGGAGGAGAGATTCGCAGCCAGAGGCCACAGAGGGTCACCTGGATGAGAGTGCATATGGGGATGAGGAGGTTAGGAACCCAGAACAGCAGCCACTGCCTGGTGCTTCTCAATGGAGCAGTGAGCGTGAAGGCCAGAACCACAGTGATGGTCTTGGCCAGGACTGTGGAGACAGCCACAGTGAAGACCACTGCGAATGTGGTGTGCTGCAGGATGCAGGAGGCTGTGTGGGGACGGCCAAGGAAGAGTAAGGTGCAGAGGAAGCAGCAGATGAGGGAGACGAGCAGGATGTAGCTGAGGGCCCAGTTATTGGCCTTGACAATAGGGGTGTTTTGGTGCTTGATAACCATCCCAAGAACAGCAGCTGTGAGTGCAGAGCAGCAAAGAGCTGTGCAAGCCAGAGCCATACCCAAGGGGTCTTCATAAGCCAGGAAGCCCTCAGTTTTCATCAGGCAGTGATTTCTCTGGGTGTTGGCAAACTGATGATCTGCACACCTGACACACTGCTCCATGTCTGGTGAGGTGTGAGAATCACTATTGCTTTGTGTTCAATATTTGTCTTTCCTCTCAACCTCCTTCATTGAAGTAGCTAGCTCATTTTCCCTGATTCACCAGTTGACCTATATTGAGTTCAATAACAATAGATTAACTCTCTATATCAAAATGCTTTCACATCAAATCTCTTTCTCACATTTCTTCTTCTTTTCCTCCTCCCTTTCTGTTTTTATGTTTTTCTTTTCTTTTCTTTCTTTCTTCCTTTCTACCTTCCTAACTTCCTTCCTTCCTTCCATCCTTTCTTTCTTTCTTTCTTTCTCTCTCTCTTTCTTTCTCGCTTTCTTTCTTTCTTTCTCTTTCCTTCCTTCCTTCCTTTGATCCTTCGTTCCTTCGTTCCTTCCTTCCTTCCCTCCTTCCTTTCCTCTCTCCCTCTGTCCCTCCATCCTTCCTTCCCTCCTTCCTTCTCTAACTCCTTCCTTCCTTCCATCTGTCTGTCTTTCCTCCAATGCTTGAACTTTGTCCATGGGACATTTTCCAGAGTATTCATGCTCGAAACTACACTCTACCACTTGAGCCACAGCTCCATTTACAGCTTTTTGGGTGCTTAATGGTGAGAAAGAATCTTACTGAGTTTCCTGTACATCATTACATGGAAGCTCCATCCTCAAATCTCTACTGCCTGAATCGCTTGGATTACAGGTGTAATATATAATTACCAGCATTATGTGCTGCATTCTTGACAGGTCATACCACTCTGGCTCTCTGCTACTCATTCAAGACATAATGGAGAATAGAGACTCAGCCCAACCACTTCACTTTGTACAAGAGGTTCTAATCCAAACCTCAACCTCCTCATTACACCAAACACAAACTTCTTGAGCATTTGATGTGTGTCAAGAACAATGCTCCTCCACTGATATGATAAGGTCTGGGAAAGATCAGCTGGAGGAGGGAGAAGAGAAATGAAATGGAGATGATAAACTACTTCTGAATCTTTTATATTTGAAGAATTGCTAGTCAGC